ATATATGAAAACATGCTCATCATCATTGGTCATCAGAGAAATGCAAATTAAAACCACACTGAGATTCCATCTCACTCCTGAAAGAATGGCCAGGATCAAGAAAACCAACAACAACAAATGCTGGAGAGGATGTGGGGAAAAAGGAACTCTCCTGCACTGTTGGTGGGAGTGTAGACTGGTACAGCCTTTGTGGAGGTCTGTCTGGAGGTTTCTCAAAAAGTTGGGATTGGAAATCCCATTTATTCCAGCTATTCCACTTCTAGGCGTATTCCCAGAAGAACTGAAAGCATCATACCACAGTGATTTATGTGCACCTATGTTTATAGCAGCACAATTTGTAATCGCCAGATCTTGGAAACAACCCAAGTGTCCATCAACTGAGGAATGGATAAAAAAGTTGTGGTATTTCTATACAATGGAATATTATTCAGCTATAAAGAAGGATCACATTGAGATATTTATCAATAAATGGGTGCAGCTTGAGACCATGCTCATAAGTGAAATAAATCAATCTCGCATGTATGAATACCGAATAGTTTCCCTAATGTAAGTAATGATTCAAATATATGAAAATATGTGGCAATCATGATTCCCCATTATGTGGCCTTGAAGCCTTATAAAATTTTCACTTATTAATTAGAAAGGCTTTATTCCGGGCTTCTTGATATGGAAATATTTGAAGCTATAGTATATGAAGTTTTATCCAAATATCTCAAGGAAAAAGACAGACACTATGGTAACTATTATTCTTTAAAAAATTATTTAGTTATTTCTTATGTTTATTTTAATTAAGGGAAAAATTTAAAAAATTAGGATATATAATAGTAACTCTTTTCGATTTCCTATTAACTTGTTTTGAAGTCCTGTAATGCTCCCACGATCTTGTTTTGACTGATTAGACTCTGTTCCATTCTGTGGGATAGTATCAGGTCCGAGGGTATAGGCAACTACTTTGAAGGCAGTAAGATTCACTAAGATGCCCATTCTGGTTTGACTATTGTCTCCTTTGGAAGTCCTGTAATGTTTACAATGTCTAAGTTTTATTGGTCTTGTTCTCTACTGTTTTGTCCAACTTTATAATATCTAATGAGATAGACAAATCTTTTTAAGGAAACAAGAGACAACGTTGATAACTATTGTTAATAACCGTATACTCTGTTCTACATCATGTGCTAAGTCTATCCTTGGTTTTCACTGACAGCTTTGTTCTGCCATATTTGACTTTATTCTCCCCCCCAAAAAAGTAATAAGAACTAAGGAGTAATAAAATCTAAAATGTGTAAATTTTGTTGTAAAAAGAGAGGAAGGGGAAAAAAGAGCTCTAACGGATATAACAGCAAGTGTGTATAGGGATGTTGAATAGCTGACTATATTAATGTTTTTGGATCATTGAACACAGCTGTTTGTAGTCTCTCTGTTTGAATGTCTACTTTGTATTCTTTGATACTGTGATTTGAGCAACTATTTCCAAGATGATAATATGTAATCTATTAACAGGTGATTTCTTACTGTTATGCTTTTTTTTGTAGTTCTGTATTATATGTAACCTTACACTGCTTTGTTTTGTTTTGTGTTTTTCTCTTTTTCCTCTTAAATAAAAAAAAAAAGTTGGTGAGCTCTATTCTCAGTCCTGATCTCCAACTTTCCCTGAATTTCCACATATGTTCATCTGGGAATCCTGTCAAGATCTTGCTTGGGGCTTCTTTCATTGTTTTAGGATATCTGCTCCTGAAATTCAACTTAAACCACTGTCTCTCATTTCCAAAGCTATGTGCTTGCAGAGGATTTTGCTGAGAAATTTCACAGAAAGTGCTTATACTGCAGGTGAATGATGCCAGCAAGTCTTCACTGAATATCTTAGGGAACAGCAGTCACCAAAATGACAGTCATGACAAGGGGAAAGCGGATGCTCAAGCCAAGGACATTGCAGAGATCATCTGCCAGTTCCTGGGTATTTCATATCTCACTGCTAAAACCCACACATGTAGAGTTGCAGGCATTTCAATCGACAAATTCTGAGAAGTGAACCCTTTAGAGAAAATACTGTTGGATATCAGGCCTCTGAATCTTCATCCTATTCAAATCTTGCCCAGCAAGATCCTATGTGCCACTGAGGCCTCCATGGGAAGGCCCAGCATTGTGAATCAGGTCTCCTACTGCAAATATGGGTTCCTAGAGCCTGAAGTCTAGCTCAAAATGCTGCTCAGCCAATCACAGCCCAGTATGGTTGCCTGGAAACCACAAGCCTGCTGGTTTCTGTGAACTCTTTTAGCCCAATTCTGTAGCTTTCCACCTCATACAACCACAGGCGTTCCAATAATGCAGCATTTTCCTTAGCCTCTCCATGTTGGGTCAGAATTTTCTTTCTAGATATTGTGATCAAGCAAATTGGACATGCTTTGTGAAGTGGAGGGAAGTAATTGGAAAACCTCTTGTTCTGTCCCGTGGTCTAAGGGGTCCAAACTTGACTGCCACAGTCTATTAAGTTTTTTAAAGCTTATAGACCTGAATGTTTCAGGGTGAGGAAAGAAGATGCCACAGTGAGTTGGGTTCTGCTGATTTTCTGAGGGCTTGGAAAATAAACCTGCACAATCTCCATGCAGTCTCTCCTGGATTACTGCCACCTTGGTAGTATCAGATAGCACTGAAAGCCAGCAACCAGAGGATGAGTCCATAACTGAAGAAGAATCCTGCAGGGCATGAGTTTTTGAACTGCATGCTTCAACTGTCCAGCTTCCTTGTGGTTCACATGCCTGAGAATCCAATTTCTCGGAGGTCTGTAGCTATTCCAGCATAACCTTGCTCACTAGACATGAGGCACTAGCTGAACACATAAACCAGCATCATCCTAGAGAGCCTATCAGTAACAGGTTTTCCAAAATATGTATCCAGGTGGAAGGGAACCCTTAGAAATGGGATCCAAATTCTCCTTTCCCTTAATATTCCATGCATTTTCTCATGGTATGAAATATTTAGTCTCCAAAAGTCATGAAGTGATCCCAGTGACCTATGCCCAGAGAATCTTGTTTTCTTTTGTTATCTTTTTTGAAACAGGATCTCACTAAGTAGTTGAGACTGGCCTTTCGCTAACTTCATAGCCCAAGCTGAACTCAAACTCACAAGGATCCTTCCACCTCAGCCTCCCGATTGCTGGCATTGCAGGCATGAGCCAACATACCAAGAATGTGCACAGATATTCTTACATAATTTGTGATATCCCACTACTGGTCTATAGGTAGCTTCAGTGCCTCAGGCTTTCCGAGTATGCCTCTATTTGTTTTAGCTCCCCTTGCCCAGGTTCTCCATTTCACTTGGGATAACCTCCATGGCCGGAGTTAAGGGTGTGTCTGCCCTGTTTAGGGTGTTTCAGTGGATGATTATAGCCCAGGTGAACAAGGTCCAAGGACACTGCATCCTGTGCATTTGATGAGGAATGAGTACACATTCAGGAGTTAATGGGGACATACCAGGGGGCTCAGTGCCCATGGTGGAAACAAAACTTGAGGGCATGGCCTGAAGGCTGAGCCCTCTGTACCTCTGTGCTCTTGAATAGTGTTCACAAGTGCCTGCTGGGCAACCATGTTCTCTGAAATGTACTCTAAAGAGTTTAATTTTATTTTTTGTTTGCTTTAATTTTCTCACATAGGAGGAACATTACCGTGGTTTGAAGAAGCAGGAGTGTATTTCTTAGGAGATATTTGACAACAGTGATATGTTAGAACCCATGAATTGCTCAAGAGGCCATGTAGTTTCAAAACAGTGACAAGAAGTTGAGTGTTTTCATGTCCATCTCTCTTTACAAAAGCTTTTCTCTCCTATTTGCTAGGAATTACTCTTGGATACATCAACCTGCACATGAAATAAAGGCTGTCTCTCTTTTCCTCATTCTGCTAGAAACCACATCCTGTGCCAGTTATATTTCCTTCTCCAGAAGAACATGGTGAAGGGGACAGCAAGATTTTCACACTGCTAGAATTTCCCAGGAGACACCTGAAGTAACACAGTAAAACTTCAAGGGAAGTGTGCTCTCCCTTGACAATGGCAAGTTGTTGCAAACCCCTACGTATTGAAAATCTTAGAAACTCTGAAAGATAAGGAACGACAATTGGCCTCTCCACAGTGGCATAGGGTGTCCTCTGAAGCATAGATTTGTGGAAATAGGAATTAAAAGGGAACAATGAACTCCCAAGATGTACTTGAGATTTTCTTTGTCCAGCACTAGAAAGCTATTGGCTGCATCCTAGAGATCCGGCTTGAATGACCAAGGTGTGAGCATATATTAAAGAAACACACACTATTTAGGGATCTTGGTATTTGGCCACATGTCCAGAATAGTGGCAAACAGTGTTTGAAGTCAAGTTGCTCCAAATTTGCCTTCATAAAAAACACCTTCCACCAGGACCAGTGACTAGAAAGAGGACATATTTCAAAGGATTGGAAAAACATGTATACCCCAACACTGAGTTTAGATGAAAAGGGGCAGCGTCCATTAGCCTTTCAAATTTTAATACAACAAATCTAAATCATGTATTATCTCTTTGATGGATTCCTTCAGAGTTTTAGGGGAATTCTAAATCAACATGAGTGTGGTGTTGTCTGACTCACAAAGTTAAAACTAGTAAAAGCAATAATTTGAAAAACCACACAACTAATAAATACAAAACATTAAATTCAAAGAGTTTCACTGGTTTTCAAACCTCTTATAGAATTAACATCTATTGAAGAGATTTATTATGCCATCTGATTGCCTCAGACCCTGAATATCAGGAACTGTGAAAGCAAAATTGGAAATGTTATATGAAATTCCCTTTCAATTGGTGAATCCATGACCCAACAGACATGTTCTATTTTGACATCTGGTACATTATCCAAATATGCTCTCAAAGGAATTGAATACACAGGACTTAGGCTGATTTCTTTAATCACTATTGTGTCTTGCACCAGAGTTAGTTGAAGATCTTCTGCCCTGTGTCCCACTGCCCAAGAAACAAGACCACACATTTGAAAACAAACATGAGAATTTTACTTCAACAGACTGAATAAATCATCATGAGAATATAATTTCCCTTTCATCCTCAAAGATTTTTAAGTCAGACTGAATGGTTCTCTTGTTTTCCCATGTTTGTCCTTGGTCTTTGCTACCTTGAAAGTTGGTGAGCTCTGTTCTGAGTCCTGATCTCCAACTTCGCCCATATTTCCACAGAGGTTCACCTGCTAAACAAGTCAAGATGTAAGATCACCATCTCAAAGAAGGCCCCAAGGAGCCAGATCTCATGAAAAATTAAGGGGTTTTCTTGTCCGCACATGCGAGGAACCCTCCGAACCAACTCCAGTGGGGAGAGGGGAGCGAGAGAGTCCCCGGGTAGGGAAGTGCAGAGTAGATAAAGCATAAAACCACAAAGCAAGCGTCAGTTACAGAAGCAGATGGCTTGATGTTTTTGAAAACTCACATCCTGTCTGGCAGGGTCAATAGTTCATGGTGCTCTTATTTTGGGGACTTTGGACCACAACTTCCCTATAATGCCAGAACATCTGGTTGTTCTGACGGTGTGACAAGGCAAGAGGGGTTCCCTGAATTTTTTTAACTCTTCATTCCCCCCTTTTCTTGTGAGCATCTCTAATCCTAGAGATTATTAGTAGGTATTGAGTCATATTGGTATCTCAGGACCATCATCAAGACCATCATATTTACCTGGGAGGCCTGTGATTGCACCAGATGTGTAATCTTGTTTAGAACACAAGGGCCAATGGTAAGGAATAAGAGCAAAGCAGCTAAAGGGCCTAGGAGGGTAACAACATAAGGAGCTAACCCTTGCCATATGGAAGAGAAGGATGTCCCCGAAGAGCATTTTTTTCTCTAGTTTTGATATTTTCTGAGTTTGGACATGGCATCTTTTACTATGCCTGAATGGTCAACATAACAACAGCACTCTTCTTTTAGAGCGGCACATAGGCCGCCCTCCTTTAGGAGGAGTAGGTCTAGTCCCCTATTGTTTTGGAGACCTACTTTAGCCAACGAGTCTATTTGGTCTTGAATGACCTGAATGATACTAGATAATGTCTGTACATCACTAACATTCTGGTAGGAATGTTCGACAGAAACCCCTACTCTGTTGCCCCCATGCCTAAGGCTCCTGATATCTTTAAGCCTACCAATAAGGAACAAATTGAATTGCCCACTTTGAGTAGCCTGTGATGTAATCTAAACTAGGAATGGGGACAGGCTCATCCCTGGGTAGTATCTCTATATCAGGCAACAGGACAGCTGTTACACATATCCCTGTCCAGTTAGTTGGGAGGAAGGTATAGGCCACATTTCTTCCACAAATAAATACTTGTCCTTTGGCAGGATAAAGGAGGCCGTTAACTATGGAAGTATAATCAGTAAATGTAATGAACTCCACATCAATGTTGGAGGTATCGTTATGAAAACCTCCTTGGAGACACAGAGAGTGTTTGAAGCCTACTGATTGTACTCTAAAGGGGGGACCAGCACTACAATTTAAGTAATCTTGTTTCTCCAGTGCAGCCAGAGAAACACTTTTGGGGATGGCAAGGGGGATGGGGGAGCTCTATGCCACGCATAACCAGCAATTCTTCAGCCAAAGTTGGGTCGGAAGCATTTAAGGCTTTATGAGTGGCCTCTAGAATATCATAAGTTTGAGCATCCCGACCAACTCGCCGTGATTTAGGCAGCTTATTTTTATTAGCAGCTTGACTCGCTCCTCAAGCACGAGTTTTTTGATCTTATTTGTGGCCTGCCCCTATCAGACACATGTATAGGGCCACCCTGCTCCAGCACCCTGATTTATCAACCATGTTGAGACATGAGGCTTGGGCATACTTTGAACTTCCTATCACTGTCGGATTTGTCGACCAATCACCTTTAACTCTTTCAGCCCTTGTCCTCATAAGCTCAGCAGTGAAGTAAGTTTTGCTATCTATGCCTATACATTCTTGTACAGAGTAATAGCAGGAGGAATGCATTTTTGAATACTAAGAACAATTCTGAGGGCATGGCCCTCACTGGCTGCCTTTGTTAGGTATCACACGGGGCTTTATCATTTACATCTACCTTTTAGTCAAACCCCCTGAAACTGAGGGTATAGCAACAAGGAATGTTAACTTGTCTGCACAATCTGTCCGAAGACCGTACGTATACAATTTATCATTTGTGTGGCGAGGATCTTGATCTTTGTTTCCTATTGTATGTATAATTCCCCCCAGTTGGTGTATTTACCTTTAGTAATATAGCCCCCTCCACAATCACAGGAGCTCCCACATAAAGATCTTAACAATTGTTCTTTGCTTACAGGGGGACCAAAGCCGCCATGCAAGTTGGGCATCAAAGTTATTAAAATCAAGCAAGCAAGCTAAAACAGTACATGACTGGCATAATCTAACTATGTCTTACTCAATTTTAACTTTAAGGGGTTACCAGTCTGAGTAAGTCCCTCGTTTTCTGCTGTTTCCAGTGGCTTTACATGAGGGTAGTGAATCTACACAGTTTTTTCTGCTACGTTGATGGCAGTGGGGTTACTGAGCACCACGGTGAAAGGTCCTTCCCAGCAGGGTTCGAGGGAGTCACAGTGGTGACATTGCATCAAGACTGGAGTCTCTGGATTAATCAGCACCTTGAGAGGTGTCTCTGAAGGCAGATCCTGGTGTTTTTGTCTAATCTAAACAGCTGGTGGATTGAAGTCAACACAGGTTGGAGAGTCTGCTGGGACTTAATGATATCTTGATTAGTTATTTTAGCTAGTTTATTTTCAGGCAATCTTGGAACCAATGGCAGGGTCCTCCCAACATGGCTTCAATGGGAGAAATTCCAGAAACATATGGGGTATATCTAGCTCTTAGTGCAAAGGGAAGAAGGCTCACACAATTATCACCAGTTTTTGAAGACAGCTTAGCTTAAATGTCCTTGAGACTTTGGTTCATATGTTTTACTTGTCCTGAGCTTTTGTGGCTGATAGGCACAGTGGAGTTTTAATTAATCTTTATTGCCTGGGCTAACTTTTGGGTGACTCGAGCTATGAAAGCCAGGCCATTATCGGACCCCATTGATAGTGGGAGGCCAAATCAAGGTATGATCTCATGTAGTAGCCTTTTAACTACCACTAAGGCTGACTCAGACTTAGTAGGGAAAACCTATACCCAGCCAGTAAAAGTGTTTATTAATACCAAGAGATAGCGGTACCCCTGTAAATCAGGCTTTACCATGTCATGAAGTTCTCCTGGAACAATTTTTTAATGTCACGTGGTCTCCAGCATAGAGCTCTTGGCTGAGTTGACTAACAATCACTGTGGGCATCTGGAGCTCAAAGAGGTGGTCAGTTTGCAGAGTTTTGTAATAAAAAACCGAGTTCTGAACAATTCCACAAGTTTAGTTTTCTCTAACTGAGTAGTCTGGTGAACCCGGTGTAACAGCTCCCACCCTAGTGCTTGCAGTAACAGTACTTGTTTATCAGGTAACTGGTACCAGCCCCCAAGGATGGGGGAATTTACTCCAAGTTGAGATGCTAACTGTAAGTCATTTTTGTGTAGACTGGTTCTGAAAAGGTTGGAGGGACTAGAATCAGAGCAATTACTTTCTTGATTGGCCCCTCTGATGTGGTTGCTATTTTTCGAGTGGCTTGATCTGCCAAACTGTTCCCTAAGGTGACAGTGTCATATCCTGTCTGGTGAGCCTTGTAATGAATAATAGCAACTCGTTGAGGCAGCCAGACAACTGCCAGCAAGTCTAGAATCTGTGGAGCATTTTTAATATTAGTCCCAACTGAGGTTAAGAGACCTTGCTCTGATAGATGGCTCCATGTGTATGTACAGTACAAAAGCATATCTACGGTCAGTTAAAATGTTTACCTCCTTTCCTGTGTCTAGTTTTAGCCTCTCAGTCAAAGCAACAAGCTCCGCCTTTTGGGCAGTGGTGCCAGACTCTACCCGCTTAACACAGAGTACCTCCTTTTCAGTGGTCACTGCTGCCCCAGCCACTCATTTGCCGTTCTGGATGAAGCTGCTTCCATTGATGAAATAGTTGTCGGCATTTCCCAAAAGCTGGTTGGTAAGATCAGCCCTTAGGTTTTGCTGTAGTTCAAGGATTTCAGCACACTCATGGAAAGGTGTCCTTTGTTCCTCCAGGTCATCATCAGGCATAAGTGTGGCTGAAGAAGTCTTGAATATCACTGATTCTGGGTCTAGAAGCAGGGCTTCACAGTGTAGAATTCTGGCATTCAAAAGCCTTTTTTTTTTCAGGAAGGTTTTGATAAAAGTCTCTAAACTCTGAGAGGTTACCACAGAAATCACTTGCCCGAAGTGAGTTTCTTCACCTCCTTAAGTAACATTGTCACAGCAGCTAGTATTTTTAGGCAAGTGGGCCATACTCCTGTCACTGGATCAAGTCTTTTGGAGAGGTAGGCTATAACCTCTTTTAAGGGACAATGTCCTGAGTTAGGACTCCTTTGGCAATGTCCCTGAGTTTGTCTATGAACAAGGTGAATGCCTTGGTAACATCAGGGAGTCCCAGGGATGGGGCCTCTGTCAAGCCTACTTGAGCTGCTGGAAGGCCTGTTCACATTTATCAGTCGAGTTCAATGTTTTGAGTTTCTCCCTTACAGGTATCATATAGAGGCGAACTTCTCAGTAAAATTTAGCCTACAGCATCAAAATGCCCCCAGAAACTCTCATCTGTTTTTAAAAATTTCTCTCATAGAGCAATTCTAACACCTTGGTTATCTTTTTGTTGGTAGCTTTTTGTAAATTTTTTAGTTCTCAAAGACCTTTTGTGCTATCTCTATTAATTGGCTGAGGGGCATTTCCTCAAACCTCTCAAACCTTTGCAAATTTTGTCTAACATGTGGGGCCAACTGAGTTGTAAAGAGAACAACTGGCAATACTGGGAAATCTCCTTACCTCTGGATGTCCAATCGGGGTGGGACAAAAGGAGAACATGGTTTTGGCATTCTGGATCAGAGAGCCGGCTTCATTTGGATGGCACACTGCTCTTTTTTTTTTTTCCAGGATGTCACATGGCAGGCCATCATTTTACTGAAATTATATTCTTAACAAAAAAGAGCTTTTTCATAGGTAACAAAATTGTGCTGCATAATCTTCCAGATTTTTACAGCACATGCAAGAACTTGTATCTTATCTCTAGTATCACCTATAATCTCATTTTAATGGAAATATTTTGCAGCAAAGTACAATCTTATGAATACTTTTACCAAAACTGATCTAATATTGTCAAATTCTGAACACATTTACTTTTTGTCAAACCTCTTATTTAGAGTACTATAAACCAAGACAAATAAAATTCACATCCTCTTGAGCCTTCTACAACTTACAATATACCTCTCAAGCTAAGCTTTTATCTCTTTTTTTTTTCCACATTCAGGAACAGCCAGACATTTTTACTTGAAGACCACTCTCTTTGTCCCTCTTTTTACTATTATCAGTCAATTGGCCAGAAAAATGAACCGAAAAGAAATGGCCGTACTTACCCGAGAGATACTTTGTTGCCATTGGGGCATCCCTTGGTGAGGGGGGGGACAGATCTCGCTGGGGGCCTCCAAATGTAAGATCGCCATTGCAAAGAAGGACCCAAGGAGCCAGCTCTCATGAAAAAACAAGGGGTTTTATTGTCCTCTCAAGCGTGGGACCATCCGACCACACTCCCGTGGGGAGAGAGGAGTGAGAGAGTGCCCGGGTAGGAAAGTGAAGAGTACATAAAGCCGAACACCACAAAGCAAGCGTTGGTTACACAAGCAGATGGCTTGATGTTTTTTGAAAACTCAGATCCTGTCTGGCAGGGTCGATAGTTCACAGTGCTCTTATTTTTGGGGACGTTGGACCACAACTTTCCTATCAGGCCAGAACATCTGGTTGTTCTGACCCTGTGACAAGGCAAGAAGGGTTTCCTGAATGTTTGAACTCTTCAAAGATCTGGTTCGGGGCTTGTTTCATTGTTTTAGGATATCTGCTGTTGAAATTGAACTTCAACCACTGTCGCTAATTTGCGAAGCTATGTGCTTGCACAGGATTTCTTCTGAGAAATTTCACAGAAAGTTCTTATACTGCAGGTGAATGATGCCAGCAAGTCTTCACTGAAGATCATAGGGAACAGCACTCATTAAAATGAGAGTCATGACAAGGGTAAAGCAGATGCTCAAGGAAAGGACATTGAAGCGATCATCTACCAGTTCCTGTGATATTTCATATCCAATTGATAATACCACCATGTGTAGATTTTCAGGCCTTTCAGTGGACAAATTATGAACAGTGAATTTCTCAGAGAAAATTCTGTTGTATATCTGGCCTCTGAATCTTCATCCTATTTAAATCTTGCCCTACAAGATTCTCTGTGCAACTGAGGTCTCCATGGAAACGCCCAGCATTGAGCCTTAAGTTTCCTACTGCAGACATGGTTCCTAGAGCCTGAAGTGTACCTTACACAGCTGCTCAGCCAATCACAGCCCTGTGTGGTTACCTGGCAACCACAAGCCTGCTGCTTTCTGTGAACTATTTTAGATCAACTCTGTAGCTTTCCACCTCATACAACCACAGCCATTCCAATAAAGCAGTACTTTCCTTAGCTTCTCTAGGTTGGGTCAGAATTTTCTTTCTAGCTGTACTGATCAAGCAAATTGGACATGCTTTGTGAAGTGGAGGGAAGTAATTGGAAAACTTTTCGTTCTATCCCATGGTCTAAGGGGTTCAAACTTGACTGCCCCAGTCTATTAACTTTAAAGCTTATAGAGCACAATGTTTCAGGGTGAGGAAAGAAAATGCCACAATGAGTAGGGTTCTGCAGATTTTCTGAGGGCTTGGAAAATATACCTGCACACACTCGATGCAGTCTTTCCCAGATTGCTTCCCTTGCTAGTGTCACATAGCACTGAAGACAAGAAAACAGAGGATGAGGCCCCAAGTGAAGGAGAATCTGGAGGGCATGAATATTTTGAGTGACTGCTCAACTGTCCAGCTTCCTTGTGGTTCACATGCCTGAGATCCCAATTTCATGGAGGTCTGCAGCTATTCAAGCATAACCTTGCACAGTAGACATAAGGTACTAGCTCAACACATAAACCAGCATCATCCTAGAGAGTACATCAGCAGCAGGTTTTCACAAATTTCAAATGTATCCAGGTAGAAGGGAAACCCTTAGAAATGGGATCCAAATTCCCCTTTCCCTTAATATCCCACTTATTTTCTCATTTTATGAAATATTTAGTCTTCACAACTCATGAAGTGATCCTCCTGACCTATGCCCAGACAGTCTTGTTTTCTTTTGTTGTCTTTTTTGAAACAGGATCTCACTAAGTAGTTGATACTGGCCTTCAGCAAACTTCATAGCCCAAGCAGGACTCGAACTCACAAGGATCGCTCCACCTCAGCCTCCTGATTGCTGGCATTACAGGCATGAGTCAACATGCCAAGCATGTGAACAGATATTGTCACATAATTTGTTATATCCCACTACTGGTCTATAGGTAGCTTCAGTGCCTCAGCCTTTAGGAATATGCCTCTCTTTGTTTTGGCTCCCCTTGCCCAGGTTCTCCATTTCTCTTGGGATGAGCTCCAAGCCCGTAGTAAGGGTGTGGCTGCCATGCCTAGGGTGTGTCAGGGGATGATTATGTCCCAGTTGCACAGGTTCCAAGGAAACTGCGTCCTGTTCATTTGATGAGGAATGAGAACAAATTCAGGAGTTAATGGGGACATGCCAGGAAGCTGAGTGGCCATGGTGGAAACAAAGTTTCAAGCCATGGGCTGAAGGTTGAGCCTTCTGTACCTCTGAGCTCTTGAATAGTGTTCACACATGCCTGCTGGGCAATTGTGTGCTGTGAAATGTACTCTAATGCATTTTATTTTATTTTATTTTTCTTGCTTTCATTTTCTCACATGGGAGGAACATTGACGTGGTTTGAAGAAGCAGGACTGAATTACCTAGGAGATATTTGAGAAAAGTGATATGTTAGAAGCCTAGATTGCTCAAGATTCCATGCAGTTTCTAAAAAAGTGACATGAATTTGAGTGTATTAATGTCCTTCTCTCTTTACAAAACCTTTTCTCTCCTATTTGGACGGAATTACTCTTAATTTGAGACGTCAACCTCCACATGAAATAAAGGTAATCTCTCCTTTCCTCATTCTGCTAGAAACCACATCTTGTGCCAGTAATATTTCCTTCCCCAGAAGAACATGGTGAAGAGAACAGCAAGGTTTTACCACTGTTGGAATTTTCAAGGAGACAGGTGATGTAACACTGTAAAACTTCAAGGGAAGTGCGTGGTCCCTTAACAATGGCAAGTTGGCACAAACCCCTACTTACTGAAAATCTTAGACAATCTGAAAGATAGGGAAAGACAATGGTCCTCTCCACAGTGGCGTAGAGCATCCTCTGAGGCACAGATTTGTGGAAATAGGAATTACAAGTGAACAATGAGCTCCCAAATTGTACTTGAAATTTTCTTTGTCCAGCCCTAGAAAGCTATTGGCTGCCATCCTGGGATTCGGCTTGGACGACCAAAGTGTAAGCATAGATCAAAGAAAGACACACTATTTAGCGAACTCATTATTTGGCCACATGTCCAGAATAGCAGCAAACTGTGTTTGATCTCAAGTTGCTCCAAACTTGCCTTCACAAAAAAACACCTTGCAACAGGACCAGTGACTCGAAAGAGGACATATTTCAAAGGAGTGGTAAAAACATGTTTACCCCAACACTGAGTTTAGATGAAAAGAGGCATTGTCTGTTGTCAGTTCCCATTTTAACAGGACAAACCAAATCATGTATTATCTCTTTGATGGATTCCTTCAGAGTTTTAGGGGAACTCTAAATCAATATGAGTGTGGTCTTGTCTGACTCACAAAGTTAAAATTAGTAAAAAAAAAAGAACAATTTGAAAAGCCACACAACCAATGAAATACAAAACATTAAATCCAAAGTGTTTCACTGGTTTTCAAACCACTTGTGGAATTAGCATCTATTGAAGAGATACATTCTGCAATTTGCCTGACTCAGAGGCTGTATATAAAGAACTGTGAAAGGAAAATTGAAAATGTTATATGACGTGCCTTTTTAATTGGTGAATCCATGACTCAACAGACATATTCTCTTTTGACACCTGGTACATTATTCATATATGCTCTCAAAGGAAAGGAATCCACAGGATTTAGGCTGATTTTTTATCACTATTGTGTCTTGCACCAGATCTTCTGTCCTGGGTTTCACTGCCCAAGGCATGAGAAGACACATGTTACAACCAACAAGAGAAATTCACTTCAACAGTCTGAATAAACCATCATGAGAATATAATTTCCCTTTCATCCTCAAAGATTTTTAAATCAGACTGAATTGTTCTCTTGCTTTCCCATGTTTTCCTTGGTCTTTCCTACCTTGAAAGTTGGAGAGTTCTGTTCTCAGTCCTGATCTCCATCATCCCCCATATTTCCACACATGTTTGTATTGGAAACATGTCAAGAACTTACTCGAGCTTGTTTCATTGCTTTAGGTTATTTGGTCTTGAAATTCAACTTCAACCACTGTTTCTCATTTCAAAAGGTATGTGCTTGCACAGGATTTCTGCTGAGAAATTTCACAAAAAGTTCTTATATTGCAGGTGAATGATGCCAGCAAGTCCTCACTGAATATCTCAAGGAAAAGCACTCACTAAAATGACAGTCATGACAAGGGGAAAGTGGATGCTCAAGGCAATGACATTGCAGAGATCATCTGCCAGTTCCTGGGAGATTTCTTTTGCCATTGATAATACCACTATGTGTAGATTTGCAGTCATTGCAGTAAACAAATTCTGAGCAGTGAACCATTCAGAGAAAATACTGTTGGACATCAGGCCTCTGAATCTTCATTCTATTGAAATCTAGACCTGCAGATCCTCTGTGCCACGGATGTCTCCATGGCAATGCCAAGCATTGTGACTCAGGACTCCTACTGCAAACATGGGTCCTAGAGCCTGAAGTCTAGCTCACAATGCTGCTCAGCCAGTCACATCCCAGTGTGGTTGCCTGACAACCACAAGTCGGCTGGTTTCTGTGAACAGTTTTAGCCCAAATCTGTAGCTTTCCATCTCATACAACCACAGCCATTCCAATAATGCAATATTTTCCTTAGACTATCTAGGTTGGGTCAGAATTTTTTTTCTAGCTGTAGTGATCAAGAAAGTTGGACATGCTTTGTGAAGTGGAGGGAAGTAATTGGAAAACTTCATGCTCTGTTCCGTGTTCTAAGGGTTCCAAACTTGACTGTCACAGTCTATTAATTTTTTAAAGCTTATAGAGTGAAATGTTTCAGGGCGAGGAAAGAAAATTCCACAATGATTTGGGTTCTGAGGATTTTCTGAGGGCATGGAAAATAAACCTGCACACGCTCCATGCAGTCTCTCCTGGATTACTCCCACCTTGGTAATATCAGTTAGCACTGAAAGCCAGCAACCAGAGGATGAGTCTCTAAGTGAAGGAGCTTCCTTGTAGGGCATGAATGTTTGGAGTGCCTGCTTAAACTGTCCATCTTCCTTGTGTTTCACATGCCTGAGATCCCAATTTCAAGGAGGTCTGCATCTATTCCTGCATAACCTTGCACACCTGACATGAGCTACTAGCTCAACACATAAACCAGCATCATTCTAGAGAGCCTATCAGCAGCAGGTTTTCCCTAATTTCAAATGTATCCAGGTGGAAGAGGAACCCTTAGAAATGGGATCCAAATTCCACTTTCCCTTAATATCCCAGGAAATTTTCATGCTATGAAATACTTAGTTTTCACAACTCATGAAGTGATCGTACTGACCTATGTCCAGAGAGTCTTCTTTTGTTTTGTTTTGTTTTGTTTTTGAAACAAGATCTCACTAAGTAGTTGAGACTGCCCTTGAGATAACTTCATAGCCCAAACTGGACTCGAACTCACAAGGATCCTTCCACCTCAGCCTCCCGACTGCTGGCACGAGGCAGCATGACAAACACGCGCACACATATTCTTGCATAATTTGTGATATCCCACTACTGGTCTATAGGTAGCTTCAGTTCCTCAGGCTTTAGGAATATGCCTCTCTTTGTTTTGGCTCCCCTTGCCAAGGTTCTCCATTTCCCTTGGGATAAGGTCCAAGGCGCGAGGAAGGGTGTGGCTTCCCTGTCTAAGGTGTGTCAGGGGATTATTATAGCCCAGGTGAACAAGGTCCCAGGACAATGGGTCCTGTGCATTTGATGAGGAATGAGTATAGATTCAGGAGTTAATGGGGACATGCCTGGGAGCTCAGTGGCCATGATGGAAACAAAATTTCAGGCCATGGGCTGAAGACTGAGCCTTCTGTACCTCTGCACTCTTGAATAGTGTTGACACATGCATGCTGGGCAATTGTGTGCTCTGAAATGTACTCTAATGCTTTTGATTTTATTTATTTTTTCTTTCATTTTCTCACTTGGAAGGAAGATTGCCGTGGTTTGAAGAAGCAGGAGTGTATTACCTAGGAGATATTTGACATAAGTGACATGTTAGAAGCAATGAATTGCTCTAGAGCACATGTAGTTTCAAAAACAGTGACATGAAGTTGAGTATTTTAATATCCATGTCTCTTTTAAAAAGCTTTTCTCTCCTATTTGGTAGGAATTTCTCTAACTTTGAGACATCAACCTGAACATGAAATGAAGGTAATCTCCCTTTCCTCATTCTGCTAGAAACCACATCCTGTGCCAGTTATATTTCCATCCCCAGAAGAACACGGTGAAGGGGACAACAAGAGTTTAACACTGTTGAAATTTCCGAGGAGACTCCAGAAGTAACACTGTAAAACTTCAAGGGAAGTGTGCTGTCCCTTAACAATGGCAAGTTGGCACAAAAACCTACTTACTGAAAATCTTAGAAATTCTGAAACATAGGGAAGGACAAGGGGCCTCTTCACAGTGGCATAGCGCATCCTCTGAAGCACAGATTTGTGAAAATAAGAATTACAAGGGAACAATGAACTCCCAAATGTACTTGAAATTTTTTTAGTCCATACCTAGAAGGAAATTGGCTTCAGCCACAAGATTCAGCTGTGAAGACCAAGGTGTGATCATAGATCAAAAAACAAACAGTATTTTGGGAACTCGGTATTTGGTCATGTGTCCAGAAGAGTGGCAAACTGTGTTTGATTTCCAGTTGTTCTAAACTTGTCTTCATAAAAAACAGTTTCCAACAGGACCACTGACTAGAAAGAGGACATATTTCAGAATAGTGGTAAAAAGATGCTTAGCCCAAAACTTGAGTTTAGATGAAAAGTGGCAGTCTCCATTACCCTTTCACATTTTAATATGACAAATATAATCGTGTATTATCTCTTTGATGGATTCCTTCAGAGTTTTAGGGGCAATCTAAATCAATATGAGTGTGGTTTTGTCTGACTCACAAAGTTAAAATTATTAAAACAAACAATATGAAAAATCACACAACCAACAAAATACAAAACATTAAATCCAATGGATTTTACTGGTTTTCAAACCCCTTAGGGAATTTACATCTATTGAAGAGATTTATTCTGTGATCTGCCTGACTCAGACCCTGTATATCAGGAACTGTGAAAGCAAAATTGAAAATGCTATATGAAGTTCCCTTTTAATTGGTGAATCAATGACCCAACAGAAATGTTCTCTTTTGACACTTGGTACATTATCCATATATGCTCTCAAAGGAAAGGAATATACAGGATTTAGGCTGATTTTTTATCTCTATTGTGTCTTGCACCAGCCTGATTAAATCATCATGAGAACATAGTTTTGCTTTCATCCTTAAAGATTTTTAAATGAGACTAAATGGATCTCTTGCTTCCCCAAGTTTTTCCTTGGTCTTTAGTACCTGAAAGTTGGTGAGCTCTGTTCTCAGTCTTGATCTACAACTTCCCCCGCATTTCCACACATGTTCATCTGAGAAACATGTCAAGATCTTGCTCGGGG